TATATAGATGGCATCGTAGAAACAAAGAGTAGACATTGGGAAGGACACCATCTTTAGCTAGCTTTAACTACTCCTAATTCACTTTCAGATTTGCCTTCTTGGTCTCAGTCGCTTGCACACGCTTGCCGCTGTCTCCCTCGTCGCCAGTCTAAACACATGTTTCTTCAAGATTGCTCACCCACTGCGTTTTCGGACGTTTAGCCGACGTAGTCCCGGACTCCGGCCCCGAGGCTAAACCCTTTGGTGTGTGATGCAACATCATATCCGCCGTGGGTTGCGCTTGTGGTACGGAACGGCGTGAATCGTTTCAACCCCACCCATCCCATACATAGAAAGGTAGGTCTGGAAAAGCTGGTTGGCCACATCGAAGTCATCCTTGGTTTCGTCCTCCGAATCGCTTGGATATACAAACTTAATTCGTTGCAACAACTCGAGCTGGGCTTCGCTCCCCGCATCGGGCAGAGATTGTTCATCGTCTGCTGTAGTGTTCCGCAATGGCTGTACTGTCGTGGTGATCCGGGGTGGTGCTTCATCTTCGCATTCTCCTTTGTCGACTTGTTCTTGGCCTCTCCTTTGGCCTTTCCTTTGGCTTTTTCTTTGGCGGACACTTTGGTGTGTTCCATAGTCGCTCCTGATTGGGCTATGCTATTCGGCTCCATCGGGGTAGTTTCCACCACCATTCAAGTTTACGCTCGCTGGCTTGGCCGTGGCCTTAGCTTTCAATTCATTCTTGCCTAATCAAACGACATCAGTGCCAGATAGACCTTTGCCATTTGATTTCAATTCCCGATTAACAGCATGCTGATAGTTATGGTTGATTATCCAACCAAGGATACCATGGACGCAGATTCACGTTATACGCAGTACGACACAAACATCCCATGATATAATGGAAATACTCTCTATCTGAAAAGGATTTTTCTCAGGTAGGTCAAATATCGTTTCACACCACGCAAATTCCACCTGGCTATTTCACCCGAAGTAGGGGGAATTATTGTACACTGTAAAACGATTGTACTTCCACTGTTCCAGGTTACTGTTACTGTACTGCCGACATTTCAAAATTCGCATGCATTTCATTGGCTTTAATTCTTCGTTTTCTTTCAATTTCCAATATTTATGATATTTCATTTGTTTACAATTGCTTTAAGCGCTGATTTTAAACCAATCTTTTGCGAAAATTCATGCAATTCCCTTTCAAACACAGTATCATTCACCAAATTGAGTGAGGGCTCGATTGTCTGTGTCAATTCAAAGTAAATGTCAGCAGTAACCTGGAACAGAGGAAGTACGCAGTAAAAACTACAGTGCACTGCTTGAGTAGTGAGTGCTAAGGAAACCACAGGGAGCAACTTATTGTCGGGGTAGGCACGGTGTGCAAAGCCTCCCCGTGTGTGCTACAGTGCATTTCGTAAGTCCGTCACTTGTCACTTTGGGCACACTCAGATTGCTATTTTATCCTAACACCGAGAAGAACGTGCATGGACATAAACATAGAGCAGAACATGGGCATGAACACCGAGAAGAACACGAAACATGCATGGCATGAACGTACCTTGCACCCTCCAACACAATTCTCGAATGACGCCATGCCAGAATTGTGAGGCCACAACAGTCTAATTATACACCAATATATAACCAATGGAATAGTTGTGTCATTGCTTTTGTGTTTGCGTATTGAAAGTAGTGTTATCTGACTACACGGGACATAATATTGTTGGTTAGTGAATTGCAATGGGTGAGATATCATGATGATAGAGAATTTCGTATTCCTTCGATCTCATGTCACAACAACAATAATTGACCGAATAGAATTGTTGGTCTTAGTTATTGTGTTTACCTGTTGAAAACTGAGTTTTCTGACTGCTCTGGACGAAATATATATGGTTACTTGTATGTGTACAGTACTCACATCGTATAGTGTGTGAAAGAAGCGTTCCGAAACAAGCACATGGCAGGTCAGTATATCGATGAAGTGGGAGTCCCGTTCCTCCCACACGACCAAATGACTTGACATTTGTATTGGAAATGACACCATGACTGCGTCACTTCCACAACCTCATCGCCGTTTGTTGAAATGTTGTCTACTAACCCTTTTCCTTCAGACATGACAACCTTGACTCTTTGGTCGTCATTTCTGAAAACACGTCATTAAATTCGTCGATTTCTGATCCAAAATGTCCAACGGCATTTGAAAGGTGTAAGTATGGGAATCTGGGCCAAAAGTTGAAAAGTTCGCATCAAGCAAATCAGATTTAATTTTAAAAACAACGTCATTTGAAATTTCACCATAGTTAAAAGCAAAAGACACTTGTTGACCCTTACAAACGCGAGCTTAAAAAGCTACATTAATGAGAAGAGTAGGTTGGATATCCACCCATAGCATCAAAGGTCCGACCGTGAAATGGTCATCTATGAATATCTTCCTGGTGACAAGGACACGCGCCAGAAAAAACTGGATAACCAAAACTAATCCACCAATAGAATCTATGAGCCGGAAACACTTTCGAGAGGTTGGAAGCGACCAGAATTGCTCGGAGCGGGATGGCTGCGCACCCCGGAGGATGTACTGGCCCAGTCACATGATGGAGTGATTAGTATCACCGTCTTGGATTCATCGCGGCACAGTCGCTGGCACATGGGGACGGTGCGTTCACTGGGGTGTTCGGTCGTCCTGTGATGACTCTTCTGTCTTGCCATGGTGGGGCAACATGGGGTTGCCGACGGGGTGGTCCGGCCATGGGTTGTCCGGCCATGGTGGGGCGACTTGGAGTTGCCGGCGGCATGTCCAATCACGCCTCAGGTAGTATATATGTGCATGTGCATTGCTTAGTACTCATGTATGCTGTCGAGTCGTAGAATCAATGGGTCGTTCAGTCGCTGCTTGTTGCAGGCGTGGCACTCAAGATTTAGTCGCTGTGACCACCGACGAGATGACAGGACCACTGGGCCAAGTGCTCCGAACATCAAGGGTCCATGTCTAACTGGGTACGAATGTCCATATATGGTTTATCCTTCTGAATATTTATGAATAACACCAATGTATATGCAGCCTCCTTTACACGAGGCTTTAGTTGCTTTCGTCAAGGATGTTCAATGAAACTGGGGGGGGCGGATCAATCACTCGAGATGCACGAAGCTGGCAGTAATGGATAATCCTTGCATTGAGATGCCCCAGTCGATGAGTGCCTTGTAGTGCTTTGAGAACAGCGCTGGTTCCCTTCGATTGCACGTTGTTGCTGAGCAGAAACTCCAGCGCAGCGATCTCTGCGGCAGCTTCTGTAGACAACATGTCGTCGCGGAATGTTTGGCTGTCTTCGTCGAGCACAAACCCGTCGGGTAAGAACAACTTCATGTAGGCTACGATGTGCTTCGACGTGTACTTCTTCTGCTTCGATGCGCTGCCATTATAGAGCCTTGGTTCGAGTGTGTACCACTCATACCACGTGGACCGCAAGGAAGCAACTGAAATTGCTTTTGCCGTTTCAATTTGCTGTTCGGCATGACTTGCCCGACTTTGACTTCAGTTTCCTTGCGCTTAGGTATGGCACGAGTTTGAAGCTTTTCCTCAAGGGCTTGGAGGCGCTCCTCTTGTCGCCGTCCGATGTCGATGAAGTGGTCAATGACGGATGCCTGATGTCGAATGAGTCTTTGTTCTGCGGTCTCGTCTGATGGTGGGGAGTCGTTCGACAGTTCACGAGTTGATCCTAACGGAACGGCTGCTACGCGGATAGGCGTGCTCAAATGGGACGACCATGCCAACAAGTCGACGTTGCTGCACCCTGCTAGACCAGCGCATTCCTCGAGGCGCATGATGGCAGGGCTTGAAGGGCTCAGCTGCTTGAGACTCGGATAGTGCAAAAGGAGGTACGTTGACAACGTGTCAACAACACGCTTGTTGAGATTGAACGACGGATTTCAAGCCGAGATGTTCCACGCTTCGCAGTCGAAGATCCAACGCGCCGTTAAGTGCTGTGATCCATTCGCGTGTTGCGCTCCACCACGACGAAACGAGTGAGATGTCAACTTGACGTCGATGCCTGAAGCTTCACCAATGCGACCAAGGATACGATTCACGTGACTGTGAATGGTAGGGTCGCGAGGCCTTGTCGCAGCCGAGGCCTTCACGTTCGTTGGGACTTCAATGGGGCCGGGATTGTCCAGGACGTCATTTAGCGACGTTTCAGGGCCAAAGCTGTGTGCCTCGTCAGTACTCTGCTCGGGTAGGTTGTTCGCAATTCGAGAGCATGCCGCTTGTTGGGTTATCGTTGCAAGCGCCGTGGAAAGCAAAGGGCAGTTAGTAAAGTTTGAGTCATGGTAAACCGACAGTCCTTGCTCTTCACTTGTCTTTACTCTCACAACTCGTAGGAAGAAACACCACCGCCGTCGAAGGACAAGCTGTTCTTTCTAACCATGGCCAAATCGGACGCCCTTCCAAGCAGATACCAAAGCAACGTCTACAACGCAGCGTCCTGGTAGTCGCTGACAGTCGCAGCGTTCGCATACAAATAACGTATCATTAATTGTAATGAGATCTTTGTGCATGCAATCGCTTGCTTGCTGATCGCGCCGCCATCATTCTTCGCATAGTATTTCTGCAAGATCTTTTCCGCACGCAACAACTTGGATTCCACCAAAGCCTGTAGTTGAGAAACCTTGTCGACTAGAGACATCTTGGCCTGGCGGAAGTACGAGTTCTTTGCAAGCGAAACGCCACGTGCTCTTTCACATGCAGCAAGGTACAGGGCGAACTTCTCCATTATGGATGCAAAGCACTGACCAGTGGCGTCCTTGCGCATGCACGACTTGACATAGTCGACCTGCACTCGCTCGGATTCCCGTAGCTTGGGCATGCACGGTCGGTTGAGGGCGATCCATCGGTCTGTTCAACATCCGTCCAAGAGGCGTGTGGTCGGTCCTTTTTACAACATGGCTGTGTTATCTCTTTACCTCATTATTTGTATACACATAACGCATAAACGCATAATTAGGCCCTGGTCGGGGAACGTAGATGACCGCCGTAGAGGACCCCCTAACCCTAACGCTTTTGATTGCCTATAAAAGCAATGCTGAAGCACTTTGATTGGTTAGATGTAAAGTCTTAACGTCTTATTGGTTAGAATCTCTAATACAAATTCAGAGATTGATCGGACCTGTCGTATTATTCTACCATATGGTCGAGGTCGGACGTGCTTGCCTGGTTCGTCATTTTCCGAATTCCCAAAACGATTGAACCCCAACGACGAACAATGCCGTCTTCACGAGATACTACAGAGACTGCAGCTGGCGCAGGTGTTGGTGCTGCCATCGGGGCGGCGGCTTGGGGACTAGCGGCACCTGTGGCCAATGCGATTGGCTTTGGCGCAAGTGGAATAGCAGCCGGATCGACCGCATCGTCCATGATGTCGAGTGCTGCAATTGCGAGTGGAGGGGGGGTCGCGGCAGGCAGCACAGTGGCGACGTTTCAAAGCATTGGGGCTGTGGGGCTGGCCACTCCCATTGGACTGGGTCTTATGGCAGCTGGGTGTGCAGTTGGGGGCGTTGGCTGGGGGTATTTTGGTACTCACCAACCAACAATCAACCGTGAAAGCCACGAAAGTTACTTTGAAGGACGATACAGGGGAAGAGGACGAGATGGCGTGGCTGTTGGTGGAATGGGTTTCTCCGGCGGAAAAGCCCAAAGAAACGCGGTTCACGAGCGAAAGCGATGCCCTGGAAGCGTTCAAGGCGAATCACAATCATCCATGAACGATGATTGGACAAAATTACGTACTCTTGGATCACATACTTGTACTAGTAAGCTTTAATCTTCAAAGTACATCACTACATCAGCAAATTTACTTTTTTCAGGCCCACACCGGTTGCCAATAAATTTTACATCATGATGAAAACGCTCCATAAACACAGCTTTCTCAACAGATCTGTTGGGTCGTTTACAGTTCTATGCGATTGAGGTCCCAATGGACTTCTTCAACAAAGTATGCCATCCCGACGTCCTGGAGCACGCCGGTAGCATGAATATGAATCTTACAGACAATAGAATGTATGCCAACCGCACTAAATTCTCGACTGGAGAGAGCTTTAAAACCTCAACCGCCAGCGGTCGTTATATGCGAGTTTGCTCCATCAGGACTACAATTTCCGCTAACCGGTGTGGATTAGCTGTGAAGTGAGGATGTACTACTGTCACATCGTGAGTCCGCTGTACATTTCTACGCAGAACGGAGCTGGAAATGATCACGTTGCTGCTGCAACACGACGCCGCTGTGGATTTGGCCGCGAAGGTAACGTTAAGTGATATATATATTCTGCACATTGAGACTTTTCGCTGACCGTTCCGTGAGTCATGGCAAGTACGTGTCCAATTGAAGTCGCACACTAATTACATGTTGTTCATGATTTCCTATAATCTGATTGGCTCAAGTCTTCTGCCAATTCTTCTGTACTCTGTTTAGATCAAACACAATATGGAGCATTCAAATATACATACATATTGCCAAGGCGATTCGAAATTGGAGTGGGGTGCTCAATTGAATGAGCAGCACCAAATCGGCAGACAATTAATCGACCAATCAAAACCCAGATCATTCATCAAGTAGCCAATCAAATCCACTCTCAATGAAACGTCGAACTAGTGTGTGACTTCAATTAGTGTGACACTGGACGATATTTGCATAGAAAAGTCAATACATAGAATCGATCGATAGGCGAATACACAAAGCTAAAAGGACAATCAATACCCGCGTTCATTAGTTTTTTCGACGCTACGGGGCGAGTAACATTATCTCGACACCCAAGCCCCCAATGATGCCAGCCACAATATACCGATCGACAGCACTCCCTCCGCTGGCAACTTCAGCCGCCGACATCATGGCCGACATCATGGCCACCGCTGCGGCAGCTATTCCAGTCGCAATAAAGCCAAATAAAGTGGGAGATGGCAACTGCAACCTCGCCACTGTTCGCTAAGGAATTCTATACATAACGTTAACGTTAGGTCGTTAGTTTGTTGTGGAGAATTGGTTTTGCCTCAAACTGGCGCTTGGTAAATGAATGAGTAAGGTTCATGAGAAACCCAATCGTCCATCTTTGGTCAATGCCACCATTCTGAACGGTCCTCTTCGTTTACAAACAATGGCTGGAAATGAAAGGCGCTGGTATTGGGCGTGGGGGCTGGAGGTGCATACGGTCTACTCCATCATGGGGTTGGCAGTAGCGGAATTGCTGCTCCGTCCCAGTGTTGCGAGATATCAGGGCTACGGGGCTATCAAGTAGCATCGCTTGGCAGATCATAAGAAATATTATGACGATTTCACCTGGCCTAATCGGATCATTTCAATATGTGCACATCCAACATTGGTCAAGTACACTGCTACTACATTGATAGAGGGTTTGTGAGCTAACTATCGATTTCCAAAACGAATGTCCTTGACGTAAGATTGAACTCGGGCCTGACTGTATTTCAGTATTCCTAACGATATGTGGATAGGACAAATGCAATCGAATTGTATCGAACGCCAATAAGGAGGTTCCTAGTTTGATGAAATGCACAGGATTCGTTTTACGTTGACAGAGTGGCGAGCATATCATATCAAGCATTCAAACGCTGATTTTCGATGCTTACTCGATGGTCTCGGCGCACGTCATATTGGGACGGAAGAGCTGCTTCTTGGCCGACGAACTCGCCTTGAACGCTTTCAGGGCGTCTCGTTCGCTCGTGAACCGCGTTTCTTTGGGCTTTTCAGCCGGAGAAACCCATTCCACCAACAGCCACGCCTTCTCGTCCTCTTCCCCTCTATCGTCCTTTGAAGTATCCTGGACTTTCGTGGCTTTCACGGTTGATTCTTGGTTGGTGCGTGCCATATTCCCCGTAGCCATCGCGCCCACTACACACCCAACTGCCACGAGCCCCAGTCCAATGGGAGTGGCCAGTCCCACAGCCCCAATTCTTTGAAGCACCGCCACTGTGCTGCCTGCCGCGACCCTCCCTCCATTGGCAATTGCAGCCCTCGACATGATGGACGCTGCGGGGGATCCGGTTGCTATCCCCTTTGCGCCAAAACCAATCGCATTGGCCACAGGTGCCGCCAGTCCCCAAGCCGCCGCCCCGATGGCAGCACCAATACCTGCGCCGGCTGCAGTCTTTGTTCTATCTCGTGAAGACGCCATTGTTCGTCGTTGGGTTGTGGGAATTCCGAAAATGACGAATGCGTGGCAAGCACCGCTGACCTCAACCATATGGGTGGACACTGTATACACTCTGGTGGATGCACTAGTGGATCTTCAATTCCATGTGGGTGCCGTATCTTGATCAAAGTATACTACTGAGCTTGACACTGATGGCGGCTTGGGTACAAAATTCTCCCTGTAAGGTATTGGCGATCCCATGTCATTCGATGTACTTTTGAGGTAATAATGAAAGTACAATCTGTTTACTCCTCAAGTACTTGTTTATATCAAAATATACCGGGTATAACAGAACGTGGAGGATAAATGATCCTTTGAAAACTAACAGGCTCTAACATAGCGTGGCCAAATAACCTATAATTGCCTTATTCAGTCAGGTATTTAGCCGAGGAAACCTCCTAATATGCATAACCCTTGGCCTGATACCTCTATCTTATTATATTCCGACCAGGCTGCAAAAATCGGGGGATCACTGTACAACCCTTCTATTCCGTGTAGTGCTGGTGGTGCTGCAAAGCATTGGGACTGTGGGGCTGGCTGGCCACTGCCATCGGACTGGTGCTTGTGGCTACTGAGTGTGCAGTGGGCGCGATAGCTGGGGGGTCGATGGCGTCGACTGCTGCTGCGGGCAGCTCTGTCGATCCCGCTACGGTCATTTATTTTGGTCAAGTAACTATTAGTTACTAGTATTATTTATAGTATTTGCGCAAGTTTCAACCGTAACGTTGATAAACCAGTCAATACAGTACTACCGTACCATCTTTCTCGAATATAATACTAGTCAAAACAATTAGAAAACTACTTAGTCTTGGTTCAAATCCAAGTTATGGGCATGTAATCGAACTTGGTTTTGCAGTTCCGTAAAGCTCGACACTTCCAATGTAAGTACAAAGAACGCCACGACGTACTCGACCAGCGCATAAATCAGACCCAGCGTCAGGCCAAAGTACCACAGCACCCGAGTTCCCACGGCCCAACTCTCGCCCCACTGGTACACGTTAACTGCGCCTCCAAGTGCCACGAACGCCAACCCAAGTGCCGCGCGCTTTAAGTGCACGATGCGCAGATGGATGATCTCCACGCGGCCCTGCGACAGCGTATCCTGCACTTGTCGCAGACACTTGATCGAACGGTTTGTTTTCGGTGAGAAAGGCGGCAAAGTACTCGATTGAGTATCCAGAGCAAAGGCAGCATGTACGCCAAAATGATCGGAAAGAGGACACTCTTCTCCGCAGGATGTGGTAAAGTACCCCTTGAAGACGCCGCTGTCGGTGAGCCGCCACGGCGAAGTCGGCGCCGTTCGGAAGAGGATGTAGTCCATCCGCATGGGATGATCGCCGTGGCTGAACTTGTTGTCGTGGGTGCCGAAGGTGAGGCCGGCCTCGGTCGGGTCGTTCTCATGGAACGCATCGCGCATGTCCACGAGGTCCCGCATGATGTCGAGCACGAGACAGTCGGATGGGGAGTTGAAGTCGCCGCAAACGATCGCGAGGTCGTTCCGACTCGTCTCGGCGATGAAGCAGCTCAGTTCGTACGATTGCGCGGCGCGGTGCGGCATGTACGTGTCCCCTGGCCCGGGTTTCCCTAGATGGTTGTAGTTGGCGAGCAAATGGGTCACGTACAAGTCGGCGATCTCGCCGCCGCCGCCGTCGTGGACGCGGAGAAGACCCACGCCCTTGTTTGCGATGAAGTCGGCTTCGTGCAGCGCGTACGGCCGACCTGTGAGGAGGAACGGGTGGTACATCGCGGAAGACAGGCGGTACTTGGACAGGATGAGCAGCCCCGTCCCGAACGAGTCGTGGCCGATGGGCAGCGGGAACCCCACCGCCGGATGGAAGTAGTGCGAGTACCCGAACCCGGCGCGCGTCGCCGCGCTCAGAATGATGTTCTTCTCGCGACGATGCCACACTTCCTGCAATGTGACAATGTCAAACTCGCCAGATCGAGCCTCCAACATGCGACCGATCGCGGCTGCGCGCTCGAGGACGTGCGGAGACACGGGGATGCCCCACACGTTGAGCGACAGGACGCGGATCGACTTGGGCGCGTTGGGCTCATGCACCTTGGAGCCCTTGAAGGATGGAGCGACATGCTCGTCCACGTCGATCTGGAACAGCTCCATGGTCACGCGGGCCTTGATGTTCCGCAGCGTCTGCCCCAGACCCATGACTGTTTCAAGTGTGGGTGGGTGGGGCTGGCTATTTCAGCAAGCGACATCTTCCGGATAACGTATCCGAATGCAAACGCTAGTAGTAGTTACTATTAATAGGCTGACCATGCAGAAAGATGGACTATAAGTTGGACCTATTCTTAGTGTCCACGTATTCCAGGCTGGTTTAGTACGTACTATGCCCATTGGAAGCTGGTATTGTGCTTACTACATACACTGTAGTATGAGCTCGCCATTTACATTTAGTACTAAAGTAAACTACTAGTAGAGATACATACGATAACATCCGGATAACTCGAATCATCCGGTTACCCCCGCGACACCGACTTCCTTTGAACCACCTTGCGATCGGCTATCCATCATCGACTGGACAGCATGCTCGGGTATCGCCTTCGACTGACAGGGCGGCAGGTCCTGCCTGGCTTGTCGCGTCCCAAAGTGACTCCAGTGCAGTTCCCTGCATGGCACACGCGCTTCCACAGCAGTCTCGGCTCAAAACACGACGACGTAGCGGACACGCCTGCTGCCAAGCCGACAGCCAAGGCGTCCGACTTTAAGCGTCTCATGGCGCTGTACAAGCCCGAGAAGCGCAACTTGGCCATCTCCATGACCGCTTTGGGTCTTTCCACCGCCATCACCATGTGCTTGCCCTACGGCATGGGCCGCATCTTGGACGTAGTGACTCAGCCCGACGGACTGGACCAGTTGCCCGTGGTCATCACGGCCCTGGGGGGTCTCTTTGTCGTAGGCGCCGCCACCAACGTCGTCCGAGTGAACGTGATGAACATGATCGGCGAGCGCATCGCCAACAAGCTGCGCCAGGACACGTACGCGTCCATCTTGCAGCAGGACATGACGTTCTTCGATAAAACCAAGACCGGCGAACTGCTCAATCGGCTCTCGGCAGGTCTGATTCTATGATCACGTAATCATCTGATTCCTGTGACAATACAAATTCGAGCCACATTTGTCGTTTACGCTTGTGGCTCTATAATGTATTGTGCTTTCGAGTGAAATTTCATTGTGTTGTGGTTTCTCGTTGGAATTTAAATCGATTTGATTGGCTACCTCAGATGAGCTCAAAATTATTAGCCAATCAAAACCTTCTCAATGAAATCCAACCAATCAGATAGATTGTGGATCGGTTTGGTCGGCGAGATTCGATTGCACCCCCTGCCCAAATGTGTACTATCAAATCGACAATATAATATTGCCAAGTTTTGCCGAATAAAAATTTCATAAAAATTCATCTATTTTGGTGCTGTATTTTGGCTGTTTTCACAAATTTCGAAAGATTGCCAAACGAGCAACATAGTAGTCCATGGAACCACTTTAGCCAATCAAATTGAAACCTCCATTTTGTAGCCAATCATACTCCTTTTCTCGATTCGTGGTCATAAGGCCAATATTTCACTGAAAAGCACAATATAATATATATATATATATATATAGACACGGCGTTGGTGGGGACCGTGCTCAGTGATAACGTGTCGGGCGGGTTCCGCAGCGTGGGCCAGGCCGTGGGCAGCATCTCCATGATGTTCTTCACGTGTCCCAAGCTCAGCCTTATCATGCTGGCGGTGGTGCCTCCGCTGGCGCTGGGAGCCGTTTCGTACGGCCGTTTCGTAAAGAAACTGACGGCCCAAGTGCAAAGTCAGCTGAGCGAGGCCACGGATTTAGCTGAAGAACGGCTGAATAACATCCGGGTGGTCCGGTGGTTTGCCAAAGAAACGTTCGAAACAAACGCCCACCTGGAAAAGATCCAGGGCATTCTGGGCCTGGCCCAGAAACGGTCCATGGCCAGCGCCACGTTCTTTGGAGCTGTGGACTTGAGTGTTAAAATGAGTATGCTGGGGGTACTTGGCTACGGGGGGACCATGGTGGCCCAGAATGCCCTTTCTGTGGGCGAATTAGGATCGTTCCTCATGTATACGTTGTACGTGGGCGTGTCGTTTGCTGGCATGTCGTCGTTTTATACTGGTACGAATCTGATATTCTCTGATTCTGATAATATCTGATAATATCTGATGTGGAATCAGAAATCATGAAGGGCGTGGGTGCGAGTCAGCGAGTGTTTGACTTGATCGAGCGGTCGCCCCAAGTCATTCCGACCCCCCCGACGCCTCTCTCGTTGTCGTCTTTCAAAGGCGACATTTCGTTTGAAAACGTCCGGTTTCGGTACCCCGGGCGTCCGGATGCGGTCATTTTCGACGGATTGACGCTCAAAGTGCCGCCCAATCAGACGCTGGCGATCGTCGGACCGAGCGGCGGCGGCAAAAGTACTGTGCTAACGCTGCTCGCCCGCTTTTACGAACTCCAAGGCGGTTGGTTTGAAATGGTTTTTAAATTGTTTTTAAACTGTGTTTTATATTCGATTAGACCACTGTGGCGGAGCGATTTACATCGACGGGGTCAACATTGTCGATTTGGACCCGTTGGCGCTGCGCAGTCTGATTGGCACCGTACGTGGAGATATATATATTAATATATATTCATGGATTCGACGAGATTGATGGGGATATTGTGTCTATTGTGTCTATAGTTGAGATATATATTATGATTGGACTATATAGATGTGAATATAGTTGAGATATATATATACTTCATATAAACTCGTGGATTAAATTTCTTTCTATGCGCCAACTATATAATAGAAGTATGGTATATATATATATCACATTACAACGTCACCAAGTCAGTCGAGTCAAAATGAGTCTATATATTATGTACAATATTCGAGTGTTCTCTTTATGATCGTTCGAGTGTTGTAGTAGTAGGTAGTGTCTATATATAATCGTAACTATTTGTTTGAAATAATTTTTAGGTGAGCCAAGAACCGCCGTTATTCGGAGCTACGATTGCCCAGAATATTGCATATGGGGTCACTCCAGGGTCGAGTGTAACCCAAGCCGAGATCGAGGCCGCCGCCAAACAAGCCAACGCCCACGACTTCATCATGGCCCTTCCGGATAAATACGAAACCCACGTAGGCACGAAGGGGCTTACGTTATCCGGAGGCCAAAAGCAGCGCGTGGCTATAGCCCGAGCCCTAGTGAAGAACCCGCGCATTCTGCTCTTGGACGAAGCTACGAGTGCTCTGGACCACGAAAGCGAGCGATTGGTGCAGGATGCTATTGACAAGTACGGTAGAACGGATGTGATTGGTTGAAATGGGCTGGGTTGGAGACACGTGATTGGACTACGACTGTATTATTAGGGCCAAGGCGAACCGGACCGTGATTTTGGTTTCGCATCGGCTGTCGAGTATCAAGAGCGCCGACACGATCGCGGTGGTGGCGGAAGGCCGCGTGGTGGAGCAAGGAACGTTCGCTGAACTAGCCATGCACCCTGATAGTGTATTTACGCAAGTGGTGCTGGCTGGCCATACCCAATAGGAACAAAGTATTACTACTCAAGCCATGCACCCTGATAGTGTATTTACGCAAGTGGTGCTGGCTGGCCATACCCAATAGGAACAAAGTACTACGTAGTACTAGTACTCCGGAGTAATATCAATTCCCAAACTAGAATCACCACAATTCAATGCAAATATCGAGTTTGGGAGGTAATGATTGTTGGGGGATTATGAAGGTTGGGCAATGCTGGAGCCAATCAAAAATTACGCATGTTCAGATCAACCAATCCGGTTCAAGTGACTCGCGTGGTAGAGTCGAATACCTACAATTAATCTACCAGTACTAATCGTATACTTGTAATCAATTTCACAGGATACTTATTGACAGGGAACAATTATTACTAGTCTACAGTCCCAGCTAATACTTTATTAACGTTACTGGTAAACGCGAGATTTTGTATGGGCTTGGTGAACCCCAAGAACAAATTCACAGACGTTAACGTACAAAATAATTCAAAACTATAACGAATGGGTAGAATTGGTAAATATATTTGCAATATTTATGAGAAATGGACGTGGCGCGAGTTGAACGCGTTGAGCAGCACGAGGAAGTCGTCGAGGTCCATTTTACTGCCTCGTTGGTCCGAGTAATTCGTTTGGACGAGCACCTCTTCCACGAGCAGTTTAATGTCAAACGTCGGGTCCACCGCCTAACGTTTCGAACATGAATCAAACACCCGTGGACCAATCGAAACCACGGACGTACCACGTTGTTGAGCGAACAAAACGTCTTGTAATTGTCTTCCAGCACTTTGAGCACGGGTTTGGTGCAGAAACTGGCGCGCAGGGTTTTGTTTTTCCGGTTGAAAATGATTTTCACCATGCCGTCCCATTCCTACGAAAAAAAAGTCAAAAAAAGTCGAAAAAATCGCGAAATTAAAGTGTACCGTAAAGTTGACGGGCGGCGGCGGGTTCTTGGGTTCAATGCGAACGACGCGGGACTCGACCTTGGGCGGCGGTCGAAAGTTGCTGCGGCCGACTTTGATCAACTGGTCCACCTTTGCCAGCAACTGCGTGTTGACAGACAAACGGCAGTACAATTCGTCGCCAGGTCTGTAAAAATAGTCAAAAAAAGTCGAAAAAACGCCAAAAAGTAGCAAACCTGGCACTCAAACGCTTGGCGAATTCTTCCTGGAACATGACGACGGCACATCGGAACATGGGCCGGTGCGAGAGGAGCTTGAACACGAACGGAGATGAGATCTGGTACGGAAGGTTGGCCACGCACACGTCGAAGAAGGGCAGCTGGACCTTGATGGCGTCGCCGTGGATGATGTGCAGCCGCTGGACGAACTCGGTGTTCTGCACGCGCTTCTGGACTTCAGCAATCATGCGCGGGTCGAATTCGACGGCGATCACCTTCTTTGCTTGCTCCAGAAGCTTCATCGTGATGTTACCGGTACCCGGGCCGACTTCCAAGCAGATGTCGGTGCTGCGGATGGCGGCCTTGGCGACGATTTCCGCGGCGATCGCGGGGTTTTTGAGAAAATGCTGACCCAGGTCCGTGTTGGGCGTGGCCAGCGTCCGGCCGCGAGAGTTCTGGCTCGCGCCCGCGGCTTGCGCGGTGGACACATTGTGGCGGCGCTTGGGCTTCTTCTCCTTCGGCATGCTGCTTGATGAATGGACACAGCAAAACCCAACCAGCGCCCCATCGACGCTTTTGATTGGCTCACTGGATTGTCAAGCAGCCAATTGAAAACCATTGAATTTGGACAATATACGGATACGTTTTTATCCGGATAACGTGGGCTAGTCCACCTGGAAACTGTGAGCTGATGAGTGCTTCGGATAGCATTGGGGCAGCATGGATGGAAGACGATGTGTACATTGCGCTTATGTGTATGGTGTTTACCGTGTGTGTCCTGGTGTCGTTGTATCGTCGTCAACGTCGCAAGGTTCCACCCGTGTTGCCGCCGCCGCAGTCGTTTGCAACGTGGATCACAGATAGCTCCGACGTGGTGCGAAACCTGCCGCTCAACCAAGTGGCGTTCCCTGGAAGCCACAACTCTGGCGCGTATAACATCTGCGGCAACGTCGTGTCAGGAGACTGCCACGCGTCGCTGGTTCCGTACATCCAACGGCTCCCGTTTGTCTCGTCATTCGTAGCTCGATGGGCCACTGTACGACATATATATACATACATATACGTTCCTTCCAGTCTTACATGATGGTAGTGCCAACGACTGTCCATCACCGAGCAGCTTCAAGCAGGAGTCCGATACCTTGATATCCGCGTCCAAGCCTTCCCTAGCGGCGCCCCCCGAGTCTGCCACAGTCTCTGCTCCATCTCTCTGCACGAATGTATCGCCCAAGTCCGCGCCTTCCTCGACGAGCATCCCACGGAGCTGGTGATTCTGGACGTGAACCACATCTACGTGACAAGTCCGAGTCAGTATATTGTCATTGGCGAGCAACTTGTGGACCAACTCGGTCGGCACTGTATCGCACGCAGATCAGACTCCCCCTCATCATGCACATTAGCATCTCTTTGCCAGCAACGCATCCAAGTCGTACTGGTATACCACGACCAAGAATCTGCGCTACGGTTGGATCTATGGGGTCCGTCGCACATTCAGTCGCCGTGGCCCCGTGTCGCAGATAATGTCGTCCAATATGCACAAACCCATCTCCAAGGTCGGAATGTATCGGACGATCAGTTATATGTCACGCAAGTGGTGCCCACAGCTCGACCGGTGGACCTTTTGTGTCACTTGAACGTGCTGACATTTGTCAGGCCGTTGCTGATACATGCGTTGCTGTGGCTTCAGCAACTAGCTGAGCAACGGGGTGATTTACCAACACTCTCAGCGGTGAACATAGTGATGGTCGACGACTGTGGTATTGACCAGTATGCAGTCATTGCCGCCATCTTAAACTTGAACAAAGCCAAAACAGGATGAGGTTTAGACTAGTATTAGGTTTTGGAGGTATTGATCATATATCGTTCAGATTATAACGAGATAAGACATTTATATTGAATCACGGTAGAGTTGAGCCAATATCTGGAAAATCGTTCGACAATACTCCAGTATTATCAAAAATAATCTATTTATTTTATGTGACGTTGCATCAAATGATCGACTACATCGATATGTATTCTATTCGGGACCAAGTCCCTTGTGTAATACTATTTATTTATTATCGAGGTTGTCGAATATCGTGAAATGTTTTGGCCGACGCGCCATTTTAGATTGTCGCAATATATTATTTCGGAAACCTGGTCAGGTTGCTTTCGAGCATGTATGTATGCTAGGTAGGATGGATAGTTATACTAGTACTACTACTCGGGTGGTTTAGTAGGAGATATAAAATTAGAAATGACTTATCTACAAACTTGATGCACTTACTTTTATACACCCTTCTTTCGCAGGGTGTGGAAGTGCACGAACTTCTTCTTTGCAGGCTTGCCTGCGCCCTTCTTCTTCTTGGCCAGCTCCGCGTTGTCCTTGCGGTTGGTCAGCTTGATTTCGTTGTTCAGGAGCGCGGCTTCCACGGCGCCTTCGGTCATGGACTCGTCCACTTCGGGGGACACCTGGACCGGCTTGACACTGCCGAACGCGGCCTTGAGACCCGCGAAGGAGCTTCCCTGCTGCGAATCGATGGCCTTCTTCAGCTCTGCCTGGACCTTGGCCTCCTTCTTCTCCAGGTCGGCCTTCCCGATCGTCGCGCGGAGCTCCCGGCGCCAGTACTTCTTGATCTTGGACCGGATGCTCTTGGCCATGATGAGTTTTGTTCGAATAATACCGTCACTCCAAATAGCCAATCGGGAACCAACGACACACCAATCACTTCTACTCGCCCGTTCATTGGCAGTTATAAAAATAGAAATGCTCCATACAAAATACAAGTACGAATTGAATGTGGCTTTAATATTTTGAACACCCACACTATTTCTAGACAATTGAATATATATCTATTTAGTGTTAGACATGCATACACTATTTCACGTTGCAAATTGTTGTCCGGATACGCATTTGGCGGCAATATTTCCATCTCATCAAGATGCCTGCATGTCCGATCTGCGATCGTCACTTTAGTACGCACAACATTGAGTCACATGTGAACTTGTGTCTGACCAAGGCCTCCAGCAGTGGAGTGGACGAAGACAAGCTGTCCCCAACGCTACCATCTCCGCCTGGGTGGTCGCAAGCAGCTTTCCACACCCACATATTGTCGTCGTCCAAGAGACCTCGTCCGTCCACTCCCCAACGCCACGACGAGGCTCCATCAAAAGACTCCCACACACCCAAGCGACATGATCATCGACAGCTTGACGCCACCAGACCCATGGCCGAACGGATGCGCCCAACCTGTTTCGACGACGTGCTAGGCCAAGACGACCTGTTGGGACCGGACAAACCCCTGCGACGGTTGTTGGAGAGCGGACACATCCCCAACATGATCCTATGGGGGTACATCCCCTCCTCCATCTTCCCTTCGTCATCCTAGCATGTATATGTAGACCTCCAGGATGCGGCAAAACGACCGTCGCCATGCTGCTGGCCAAGCAGAAGAAGGACTCCCAGCGCTTCGTCGCCCTTTCTGCGACCACTGCCAAGCTGGCGCATGTTCGCGAAGTGTTTGAGAAGGCCGTGAACGAGGCGCAGCTGCTGGGCCGCCAAACCATCTTATTTGTAGACGAAATCCACCGGTTCTCGAAACTGCAGCAGGTCTCACACAGCTCCATCCGCTTTGCATCTCATGTTTGCATTAGGACACGTTTCTCCCGCAGGTGGAGGCCGGCATGATCACGCTAGTTGGCGCCACCACAGAAAACCCATCCTTCGAACTCAACGCGGCACTACTGAGTCGCTGTCGGGTATTTGTACTCAGCAAGATCCAGCCAGATCATATTCAACACCTACTACGACGCGCAGCTAGTATTACTAGCCCGTCCACACCCGTCGACGACGACGCCCTTGCGTTTCTCGCGCATCAATGCAACGGCGATGCCCGCATAGCCCTGAATGCGCTCGAGATGGCGTTACTATCTACTACTAGTAGTAGTAGTGATGCTCTCCCAACCCCGAACCCCCGGAACCCCGAAACCCCGAATCCTCCACCGGTGACCTTGGTCCATGTAAAAGCGGGCTTTCAACGGTCCCATGCATTATATGACCGCAAAGGAGACGCCCATTACGACTGCATCTCGGCGCTGCATAAATCCATCCGCGGCAGTGACGGCGACGCGGCGCTCTACTGGCTCGGCCGCATGATGCAGGGCGGAGAGAATCCGTTATATGTGGCCAGACGGTTGATTCGAGTGGCGTCGGAGGACGTGGGGCTGGCCGACGCCCACGCGCTTCCACTCGCCACGTCATGCTTTCAAGCATGTCATGCCATAGGTAGTCCAATATATAATATATATATATATATATTCGGGATTTTATCTAATATGTTGGGTGTTTATAAATATATTGGGGGGTTTCGGGGTGTTATGATGTACTACTAGTATGTGTATGGCAGTATGCTATAGTGTGTCGGTGTCATAGGTACATACATATGTACTACTATATGTAATACATGTATTGTACTCTTTTGGCTGAAATTCGGACTGATTGGAGAATCGATTTGCGTCAGATTTTCAGCTTATTCAATGTATGGTATACACATTTGAAGATAACTATTTTCACGGGGTCAAACGATTCTAATTGCTGATTGGTTGAAATGTCTCATCAGTGCAATTTGATTGGCTAATACATTCTCGCACATTACATTTGTCAAATTCATTTTCGATTGTACTAGGAAGTCCAAATCGGAACGGATTTAACAATGCGACTTGTTTGATATTTAAGTGTTTTTGGTTGGGTATAATTATAGTGTCGGGGTCTTGTTTTCGCGTCATATTGGGTGGATCGTATGTATATGTTTCGTGTTTTTATGGAATAAAATGGAACGATTAATAATATTATTTTGGTCCGAAGGCATGCCCGAATGCGATGTGATCTTGGCGCACTGTGTCGCATATTTGGCAAGAGCACCGAAAAGCGTCGAAGTGTACAAAGCGTACAAAAAAGTCAAGCAAACGATCGACCAAGGAAATGACCCGGACGTGCCGCTGCACCTTCGAAATGCCCCTACAAAACTCATGGAAAGCTTGAATTATGGCAAAGGTATATATATATATTATATTTATATATTATATTGGAAATATATTCATTGGAATGATTTTAGAGTACAAGTATAACCCCGACTACGAAGATGGAGCGGTGGACCAAACGTATTTGCCACCTGAACTCGTCGGGTGTGAGTTTCTCCAGGCCAAAAATTGGGTGCACAAGAAGGAATAACTCGGCTTTTAATATTCTATTATACTATGTGTATGTACAGTAGTATTATATTTTATTAGTTCTGTCAAGGATTCATACATACTTTCAGTCTAAATGACCAGGACAGCCTTCCATGTTCGGGGATTGTAGCGTAGATGGCCAGTTTATGGTGTACGGGACAGTTTAGGGTGCCTCAAATTGGCCAATGGAATTGCGTGATTTTTGGAATAGCCAATCGTATCACTAGAAAATGGAATCACACAAAAACTAGCATAACACATATTTTCAACCGTCCCTCCACTTTGCCTTGAGTGGAAATTAAAGTAAATGAACACTAAGGTAAAGTCTAGTCGAGCCCCGAAGAATTATGGTGCAAGACTACAGATCGGCCGTCCTCAGCAGGAGACGTTTTACTATTAAACGCCTCGGTTCAATAAAAACATTCGTACGGATAAGTGCTGCATACAAAGACCAAGATATACTTGATACTCCTTTTCGGCCAAAATGTACCTGGCTCCATATATCTCCGTACAAAAAGGCCGGTTGGTTTAAATTCTATTACTCGATCAATTTTTCACCAATCGAAAATCTGAACCGTAACTTCTGTTGGGCTTGTACAGTTCTATGGTTATACGGTATATTTTCCTAAATAATATCAATACAAAGTTGGAATAGCCGTCGAAAGTCAAGGCATTTTTTGTAATCTTTAGAATGAAATGCACTATACTAGCCTTTTGGCTTTATCCAGCACTTTTCAGACTTGAAATCCCTAAGAGACTGAGGAAGCTGCATTGTACATCTCTTTCAAGTGCACGTTTAAATGGGCCATCTACGTCAGAAAGGAATTGCTCGGGGTTTCGGGGTTGGCAATTGTTGTTAACCGGATGATTCCGGATACAGTTCGTTCGGTAGGTTTGAAAGCGCGATGCAGGCAGCGCCGACGTTCGAGCCGGAGGCGGTCATCTCGGCGGCGAAGCATCAGATCATCTCAAGCAATGTACGGCGTACATGCATGTTCCTATGCTCTTCCTCACGATACGCATTAGTACAAGGAGGTCGACCAAGCGCGGTCCACGGTGTTCTCCATCTTGGCCAAGTGCGACGAACCCACGTCCATCGCGTTGTACATGCAGTTCGCCGACTTGGAAATCGAACTCCGCCAGTTCAAACAAGCGACCAAAGTGCTGGAGCAAGCCGTGGTGACGCATCCCTTGTCTCCGGTGCTGTGGAAGAGGTACGATCCAGTTCATCCTTGTCCTAGTACTCACGGACGTCAACGCGGAGGTATGTTGGGTTTTGCTTGGAGCGGCAAAAGCATAGCAATGCCAAGAAGCTGGTGGTGCGCGCCATCGAACTCCTCCCGGTACTTCTGTCCACCCAACGATCCTCTACATACTCACGCGACCTGCCATCTTCAGGAGCCGAGTCATGGCGAACTGTGGGGGCTGCTCGAGCAAAACGAGCATACTCAGGGAGACGTAGGTGCACTCAAAGCCCAAGTCGCCGCCGGTACTTCCTTCCTAGATGAACTCAGTATCTCATTACGATATCCCTTCCCTTCTCGCAGGACCAGTGTCGGCGGCTGTAGTAGTAGCCCCGCCTAGTACTACTACTAGTACTTTGGCTAGTATTCCTACCAATACTCCCGTCGAAGCTACAGTCGCTCCTACTATTTCGCCCCCGGAACAGGTAAATAAATTGTGTTTTGGTCTGATTTATAGTATATATTATTTTGGTTTTAGTATGATTTATAGTATAATATTATTTTTGGTAATATATGTAGAAAGCGACGGAATATTTCACGAAATTGCCCGAAACGCTGCCAATTACTCCAGAATGTCCGCATTTGCTGTTTGATCCGCTGGATACGTCGGGTCCGCTGCCGCCCAATATATCGTACCATTTGGAAGACTTTAAATTGAGCGACGCGGTACGAATTAATACCTAATTCAACGGAATTAAAACCTAATTCAACGGAATTAATGTTTTTGGCCAGGTCTTTCGAGAAGTATTGCGACTGCACGACGCCCAACGCCAGAAAGAAGTGGATACTTTGTATCGCTGGCAGGATCTCATTGCCATGCAGATGAAAGAAGGTACGAATTAGTGTGATAAGTGTCCAAATTAAGTTGGATTCAAATAGGCAGCGAATTGCACCGCCGCCACGTTACCCCCGACACTGCAGTCGTGGACTCGGAGGTAGGTTTATTAAGTGACCTGATTTTAAATGCTTATTCGCTTGGGTTAGCATCTAATTCAACGACATGAGTTTACGTTGCGAGCGGCGTCTTCCCAGTCGCAATTCATTGAAATCACCGCCATGGACCGGAACAATCAGCTGTCGGCGCAGCAAGTAGGACCTATTTGCGTTGTTTTATCGTAATTTTGATCAATTTTATACCCTCAGAGCGCCTTGGCAGCGTTGCGTGTGCCACTGATGGCAGTGTCGAAAGATCCGTCCGTCGTAACTGACCAGGTACGAATTGTTTTTTAAATTGATTTAAAATTCAATCGAACAGCGTCGAGTGGTGCGTTGATGTTTTTAAATTGATTTAAAACTCTATCGAACAGCGTCGAGTGGTGCATATTGTTGTTTTTTTAAATTGATTTAAAATTCAATCGAATAGCGTCGAGTGGTGCATATTGTTGTTTTTTAAATTGATTTAAAATTCAATCGAATAGCGTCGAGTGGTGCATATTGTTGTTTTTTAAATTGATTTAAAATTCAATCGAATAGCGTCGAGTGGTGCATTGGCTGCTCGAAGCGGAACGGACGTGGCGCCGTCCACCGCAACAACAAGCTCCACGGTATGCATATTTTGAATGTGAAATTCGAATTAAAAATGTATCTTAAATAGAGCCATGGGCGACCCACGTCGTTCGCCTCCAAGACGAGTGGACGAGGTAAGTCTTCTGAAATGATGTCATAAATATATTATGAATGAGGTGATAAATATTATTATTTTATAAGGTAATAATATTCTGCGATGTCTGTAGCACCAATACCATCCGTACGGAGGACGTCCCCACCCGCAGCGCCCTATAGGAGGTAATTTATCGAATTTAAAGTCGAAATTATTGCCAAATTAGGGCTTGAAGTTAAAGTGATGTAAACACGTAGGAGGTCGCGGCGGACGTGGAGGACACCGATAAAGTTCCAACAGGAATGGAAGGCTTAATGAATCGAATGCTGTTAAAAGCTTATGAAGCTTGCACTTTTACACTTAGGACTATTAGAAATGACTTGTTGTTTGTATGGATATGCATTAGGTTACTTTAGCTACTCGATATACGAATAGCTCGGCTCAATGCATGGTAAAACTCACTTTGAAAGGGGAATATTACTATTAGCTCCACTGCGCAATTAATTCGCCTCACTCTATCGCTTCTGCAAACGGAATTTCCTTGTGAAGAATTCCTAGTGACGAGCTAGCTCACAAGTAATTCCGTCGAAATAATGTCATT